ACCTGATTGTCACTTTACATCACGTAATTCCAGTCTGCAAATTAGATCTCTATTTGGGGATGGCTGGGTTAAGCTATAGATCTCAAAAGAAGTCTTTTTTTTGGTCAAGATTCCATGTTGGAACAAAAGAGATATAAGAGAGCCCGTCAAGTTCTGCAGTATGCCAAGATTGACTATATGCATTGAACAAAATCGAATTTGGGCTACCTGGAAGCCAGGTAATCCGCAAATAGGATGTGGCCACCTTGCAGGGTTGGGAAAGGGGTGAACCGGATATTGTTTTTTGTTACTCTTGCAGTGTCAAAATTGAATCTCAACACATGGCGTTTTCTTTTAACACTTTTCTTTGGCAACACCGGTCTTGAAACATGACGCCATGGCATTGACTGCAGATCTTCTAGGGAATTCCCGGTCGAGATTGGTCCACCTCAGATTGGTGAACTTGCTTTAGCCCTAGAAGTCATAAACCCTGGAAGTCATAGTGGAAAGGGGGGGCCTCAAGAAAAGTAAAACTGCATTGGTGGGTGTATATAGTTCATTCTGGTGGTTCCCAGCCATTTCAATCACTATCCTGCTATAGTTGGCATTGTCGTTGTGTATACAATATATATAGCATATCACAAAACAAGATGTAATTGAATTTGGTCATAGCATCCGCTGTTGTACATTTGGATGGGCTGGACATTTTGCAGCACACAGATGGCAAATTTCCCTGGCTCCCCAGTGGGTGGATAGAGCAAAGGCTTCTCTGCTCCACTTCCAATCTCCTCGCAACTCACATAGCCACGCCGGGCCACCTGAGGACTGTGGAAACTACAAGTGGGTTGATCCTTGCCAAAACATAATGTGGGCACTGGGAACTCAAGTGGTTTTCACCCATCCCCCTCAAAAAAAATATAACGTATCACTCTTGGAGGCCTGCAATTGGCTTGCCTTTCAGCTGGGCATATGTTTGTGGGAGCGGGTTCCCTTCAAAGTCCACATCAGGGTGCACTCCACTAGCCAGTGCCTGCGATTGCTGCTAGTGTGTGAACAACATATTATTAAGTTGGTTTCCCCATATATGGTCATTTTCCACCAAAAAAATGGGGGTTTCCATAGATAACCGTACCTAAAACTGATGGCTTATAATATTAATATATGTAGATGATTTGATAATCCCATTTTAGGAAACCCCCATGTACTCATGAAGGCAAGGGACATTGAAGCTCCACATCAGGAGTTGGTAAACCCGTGTCAACGAGTAGTCTGGCACCATTCGAGAAACCCTCAAAAGAAACAGTGGGAACCGGGACAAGTCCAAACCTCACCAGGTCATTGAACAAACCCTCAGAAAAAAAATATCTATAGACATACGGCTTAGACACTACAATCTGAAAATGCTTTGCATATAATGGCAGAAAGAAACTTTTGGCTTCCTGGAGTAACATGTTGAAATTGATAACCACCAGCTTCTCTCCTGCTTTATTATAGCGACAGTCGTCTCCATAAAGACCAAGTGGGCAGGCGTTCACAGTAGCACCTGGGTGCCCTCGCTGCAACCAACCATATCTGGTGGTGTGTTGCCAAAACTCCCTGATTGCTGCATCATTGCGTTGAAATTTTCCACTTACCTCATCAGTGTTTAGAGCCGGTCCCCCAGGTAAAGGATACTATTGCTGTATAGCTGTGGTCTATGTGTGGGAAACAAGATATTATAATCGATTCAGCTTTGGGGGTGAATGTGGACGGACACAAGCTCAATGAAACTAGGAACAAAACCTCATAGGAAAATCAGGGTTCGTATGCTTCTTTCCCCCCTAGAGAAAAAAAACGGTGCTGTTTAAATCTTTAAGTCACCAAGACACATGCAGGTAATGAAACAATGCATGAGGAGGAATGATAGGTAGTTTTCCCATAACAACATCCTTTCTGTTGATATTGCTGCGCACTGGTATCTCCAAGAAAAGGGGCGCCGCTGGCAGCTGAAGTAAAACTGTAAGATCTCTTTCAATGTTTTGTGGCCATTTGCCCCAGTTGCCGAGGCTAGCTATTTTTCTTGTCAGATTGCTAAGACCGCCTTTGTTGGCCTAGCGGCAGGGATCAAGATATAATATATATATAATATATAATAATGTTATAAAAATTGTATGGGTCAAGTTACAACCATTCATGGGAATTGGCCACATCTTACTTAAGATATATGGGTCTATCGTGGTCTATCTGAAAATAGATATCCCATAGAATATATATATATATATTATAGATAACTTCTAGTTATTATTTACTATAGTTTTGGGGTGTGCTATTTTCAGTCACACCTTTTAAAAATAAAATGTTTTGATTTTAACCAATTGGAACTCCTGCCTCAGCCTCCTTCACAGAGGCATGAGCTGCTTTTTGAAGCTCCGCGCAAGAGGTGGCCTTGGTGGGCCGTGGAAGTTGGAAAGAATAAGAAGAATTGGGTCCTAAGTATTAGGTCCTGTGGGGGACACCGATCAAGATAACAAAAAAAACTTTTGTGAACAATTACTACCTAGTAGTCAAGTGCCCAATTATCCCAATGAACTACCCATAGCCAAGGGGCACCACGGCCAAGCGAAGAAATCAAGAAATCAGCAAAGCTGTGGTCACCTGCGAAGGGGCTGTGATGTGGCAACACCACCCACTACTTCTTGAAATGGCCCTACACCTCTCAGATATGCTTCATGTTGGTCCCCTTAGCGGCAATAATCGTTTGGGAAATAGATACAGTTTTGGTGTATACAGATAGTGGTCATGATTAAGAGATCTTAGGATAATTTGATTTTGATGGATCACCAGAGTGGTCGGGCATTTTTGTTCCATCCCGCTGTTAGTCCCATACCTGTGCCATACTAGATTGTGTTCGTCGAGAACAATATGTATACGTACTGATGTCATTCCCGTGACCGTGCTGACATACAAACACATTTCTCATCAAAAAATCAAACTATATCATATTGCATCAAGCAAAAATGCCTAGTGGTCTGGACTATAGCATTTAGAAGGCACACAGGTTTACTGACATCAGTACCCTCCCACCTACGTATACAGTTGCACACCAAATGTATGCGGTACTCTTCACAAACGGGTCGCAACAGCACCCCCGAAACCAAACGATCTAAATTCACCTATAGTGCACATGCATGAAGACTGATGCATGTTTCACTAGTCATGCTGGTGCTGCACGAGCTTAGGTTCATGAAACCAACGGCCAGGCCAAGTACTTTCAGCAGGTTGTGCAAACGCTATCCCATGGTCGAGGGGATATACACAAAAATGTCGCAAGCCATTGCACCAAGCGGTCAAAATCAAAACTTTGAAAAATCAGTGCACCACAAGGGCTGTCCCAACATTCAAAACGAAAGACACAACATTCCCACTAGTCATGCATGCTTGCGACAGCAAACATCTAAGCAGATGCTTTTGCCTTTGCTTTCGCCTTCGGCGCCACACATGCTTTCTTGACTTGGCCACTTGACTTTCGGTAGTTTTCATTCGCAGATTCCAACTTTTCGGTGGGTTCCTTTAAGGACTGCCCCAAACTCAGCGCCAATTCCACAGCTGTCTTTGCATCACGGAGCTCCTTGCCCTCAGTCTCCATGCTGCTCACGTAAGCATCCCGAACAACTTTGGGCCTCAGGATGGGTGGATTCAGGGTAGAATGGAGATATCAAGGATGAGTCAAAAACATCATAACTATCACCCTAACACTAAAGGAAACCTGACATATACCAATTTGGATTAGATACACACTGGCGTTCGCCAGCTTGTAGTCCCACTGCGAAATTTCAAGGAGATTCGCATTTGCCTTTACCACAGCCTAAGTTGAGGCACAGATTATGTAAACAAACCTTGTTGGTACCAGACCAGTTCAAGATTGGATAAACAAACGCTACAGGCAACATATAGCAAACATTCACAACAAAAAAACTTTTTTGTGATTTAACACTTGGGGGCTGCACGTGCCAACTGCTCATCAGTCTTGACCTTTGGTGCACTCGACTTAGGCTTGGGTTTTGGCTTGGCTTTTGGGACTGCTTGGCTATCTCCAGGAGGGATCGGGGTGCTCCCCATGCCATCATAGTCACCTTCAGCCTCACGTCTGGTCTCCACACCTTCTGCATGGATCTCTTCGTTCTTCTCATACGTTTCCACCCACGTTTTGTACAGCCGCATATCCTCAAAACCACAGGTGATGGATTTGGTGGCAACATATGGGTAATGTATGAGCACATGTTATGACACACAAACATGTATAATATATATATATATATATGCTAGGGCACGGTAAACATAATAAACATACATATGTACATATGTGTATATGCATATGCATATATATATATATACATAGAATATATGTTTACACAATATATATATATATGCATATATACGCATTATATATATATATATATATATATTTATTTATTTATTTATTATCATTATCAACATGGTACTTCCCCGGACACCAGAGGCAGAAACCATGATTCTATACTCACGCCCCAGAAGGCTCCTCGTTGTCTGGAAACTCCGGATGAGAGATGTACTTCTTCTCGGCGGTCTCAGGGGAAGCAAACATATATTAGCCAAATGGGAAATTTACCTGTTTACTATGGGACCCCCCTAAGAGCAATAACTGTGCTATCCCCTTCATAATATCTTGGAATAAAGGTAGAAGGGTAACAAGCCCAAACCACATAGGCCAACAAGACCCAAACCACATATATTGTTTATATTATATCATCAAAATAAAATAATATACACACATCTATGAAATATATTTACTTACTTTAGTTACGTTTAACAACCCCAAACCTTCTTCTTGATCAGCTCGTCCACCAAAAGGGTATTGCCATGGTACTTAACCAAAAGGTCCTTGGTTGGTCAACATTTGCTGCAATGCACACCATACCCACAATATTGGCATGCTCTAAAGCCAGCAAAACCCCAGCAGATTTTGGAAACAACATTTGAAACCCTGTTTTGTAAAAAGATAGCTAAGGGTCAGCCTTTGACAGGTATCCATCCTTACCACCCTGGGTGTTGGTTGTAGTCTGGGAATCACGGATCACAAGGGTGCTGGACAGCCAGTCCCCGTTGCATCTTTGAAATTCTTGGAACAAAGCCCTCATCTTTGCTTTGTCCTTTGATGCTTCGTGGAACTTCTGGGTCACTTCCTTGGGTGCTGTGGGATGTCGGACGCTCCTGTGAAATTTCATGTACTGTGCCCTGTCATCTGCGGAATTTTCTGCCAGGCGAGCTGTAGGTGGTGTGGGTGGGGGTGGGGGTGGTACTAACGGCTGCGGTGTTGGTGCTGGCGGCTGGGGGGGTGTTGGCTGCTCCACAACTGGTGTGAAGGGTGGGGCTTGTGGTGGTGCCGTGGCAGATTCCGACCCTGGTGTCACTGGCAGTGCAGGGTGGGATGCAGGTGTTCCAACCACTGCTGGGGATGGAGGCATCGGTGAAGCTGATGCAACTTCTGCAGAGGCAATAGTTGGTGGTGCTGCTGCTGATGCTGCTTCTGCTGTCGCCGGTAGATCTGCCCGATCCACAATGGCTGGTGGGGTCATTGCCAGAGGTGCAGGGGTTGGCATCCCCAGTGTGGTCGCTGCTGCTGCTGGGACAAGGTGGGGGGCTGCAACTGCAATGGGCTCGGTTGGGAAGGCCCCTTTGCAAACCACAAGTGGGAAATCTGACACCTGAGGGGTTCCATCAATCTCACCTCGCTCATTCGCAAAGGTAAAGATTGTGTTGTGGTTGTATGCAGCCACCACAAAACATGATCTCCAGTCAGAGCGGTGTCCAACATTGGATCGAATCAGGTGTTTCCAGTTGAGGGGATCAAGTACTGTGTACAAGGCTTCTGTTGGAGCTGGTAGGTTCAATGTGGGTGGCGGCAGTGGGCGTACCAGAGGCTCCCTGGACATGGGGCTCCGTTTGAACCTCGACCAAAACTGAAGCAAGCGGGGGTCAGGTGACTGGGGTTCGGGCTCCAACGGTGTTTGTGTTGCTGCCAGGGCGATGGGAGCTGGTGCCACTGCCGTGCTGCCAGGTGATGCTTCTGCTGATGCTGTGACAGGTGTTGGAGTCAACACATGTGCGGGTGCAACAACAGGTGTTGGTGTTGCTGCCGGGGCGATGTGAGCTGGTGCCACTGCCGTGCTGCCAGGCGATGCTTCTGCTGATGCTGTGACAGGTGTTGGAGTCAACGCATGTGCGGGTGCAACAACAGGTGTTGGTGTTGCTGCCGGGGCGGTGTGAACTGGTGCCACTGCCGTGCTGCCAGGCGGTGCTTCTGCTGATGCTGTGACAGGTGTTGGAGTCAACACATGTGCGGGTGCAACAACGGGTGTTGGTGTTGCTGCCGGGGCGATGGGAGCTGGTGCCACTGCCGTGCTGCCAGGCGGTGCTTCTGCTGATGCTGTGACGGGTGTTGGGGTCAACACATGTGCGGGTGCAACAACAGGTGTTGGTGTTGCTGCCGGGGCGATGGGAGCTGGTGCCACTGCAGTGCTGCCAGGCGGTGCTTCTGCTGATGCTGTGAAAGGTGTTGGAGTCAACACATGTGCGGGTGCAACAACAGGTGTTGGTGTTGCTGCCGGGGCGATGTGAGCTGGTGCCACTGCCGTGCTGCCAGGCGGTGCTTCTGCTGATGCTGTGCCGGGTGCTGCAGTCAACACATGTGCAGGTGCAACAACAGGTGGCGTTGGAGTCACAACAGCTGGTGTGCTGTGAGCTGGTCTTGCTGCCACTGGGGTGACAATCACTGGAGCTGCTTCTGCTGTGGGATGTTCTGGTGTCTTCGGCAGTGAAAGGTCATCAGTGGACTTTCGTTGCATGCAAGCCAAGTAAGCCCTTGTCTTGGGAGTTTGCTGTGTTTTGTCAAAACCCTGGGAATGCTCTGCTGCTGGTTCAGGCGACTTGCTGGTATGCACAGGCTCTGGTGTTTCCATGTTGTCATCATCAACCACAAGTGTGTCGTCTAGGGTTGCTTGGGGATGTGGGTCGGTCGTGACAGGCACCTTCTGTGGTGTTGCTATGGCTTGCATTTGAGAAATGCTGATGCCACCAGCAGTTGCCGTAGCCACCTTGCAGTTTTTGGACAGGATCGGTGCAAAGGTCTGTCGTTTAATTAGACTGATGCAAAAACAAAAAATTCTTCCAGATTGAAACCATTAAAAAAAAACTGAAACACGTCAAGCCACTGTTGCCTTCAAGGCATTATTCCCACCAGTTTCCCCCGATGAGCTAGAGGACACGCCTCCTGGATTGCCACCACCTTGCAGGAATGGCAGGTAGTGTAAGCCATAGTATGCACACGCACAGGCACTATATATATATATATATATGAGTATTAGATTATATATTATATAGATATATTGTGTAATATTAAAACACTAGTTGGTTGTATCGATATATATATAATTATATATATATATATATATAAATATATATATATATATATATATCACTGAACATATTATATATTATACACAACCTCCGGGTGCTAGAACAATCCTATGGGTTCCCAAAACATTTGGCTTATAGTGGTACCCAAAGAATCTACTAACTAGCGTGGAAGGACTACAGTATGAACAACCGCATGTTATACCCATGTTATATAAAGTCTTACGGGGTGCCAAGTTGTTCTGTTTCACATGATGCTCCATAGAGACCCAAGCCTGTAGTTGAAAAATCCAATGCCCGGGGCTGCAAATCATCAGACGTTGCACCCTTCTTCACATTCTCGGGGGTCACCTGGGTAGACGGCGTTTTGGTCACATCGGTGCGATCACGCTTAGCGGTACTGTTGTTGACCACCCCTTGCATGAGTTTTAGCCGACGCTGCCCATTCTGCATGGCCATTTGCGCCGCCTGCAGGGGTGGAATCTACAAGACCAAAGGTATTTCCCATGGATCAAGAGGCACTTTGATGGGTGGCTGGGAACCAGTACCATTAAATATTGGGAGATAACATCAGTTAACCTTACTTAGTGGGATTCCTTGCCAAAAAGTTTAATGTTGAAACGCTTTCTGATCAGTTAGTAACATAAGTGTTCCCTAATCTTGACTGCATATCACAGCTTCTGAAACGTCTAGTTGACTGCTACTTAAATTGGCCTTCACCAGGTCTGGATCAGGCAACGACATTGCTCTAAAAGCAAGCTCCGGAGTCCATCCAAGCACAAATGCTGCAATAAGATGAACAACAGTCATTTTAATGCATGAACATGCGGGCAAATCAGAAGCTGACCTTGCATACTGTCATGTCACGCAGTCTGACAGCTGGGCTATGAAGAATCTACGAACATCTAAGAACCACAACATCTTTATATTCTGGATACGAACCATGTTTGCCAATGCGGGACATAACTTCGTATAATCCCAAGTCACCTAAGTTCGAAGGGTTGAGTTGATGCATCCCAAAGTTGGTGGCTGTATTGAACCGGACCACAGGTTTGAGATTTAAGTACAGTAACATCATTTTTCGAAGATTTTCAAAGTCAATACTTGTAAATATCAAGGGTCATCCATCCCAAAAAAGTACCGTTCATAGCCCATCATGGTCATTTCCAAGCTGTCACGGTCCGTCACGGAAAATCACGCAAAATCACGCGGCGGCACCCGGTTCCGACAAACGACCCAATTTTAAGTAGGGAAAAGTAAATTGAAATTGAAAAATCACGAAAAATCACGGAAAATCACGCGAAATCACGCGGCGTCACGCGGCGTCACGCTCTGCTCCCTAGCCCACCCAGAGCCCCCACTAGGCCCCACCAGGTCCCACAAGGGTCCCGCCAGGTGTGTCCAATCGACCCTGAGGTCATGTTGGCATGTCAACACCCTCAAAATGTCATTTGTGAGCTTCAAAGGGTCTACCATCATCAAACTTTGGTGCCAAAAATAACAAAATACGCTAGGTTGTTTGCATGTTGAAACAATATCATTGAACAGAGATGGGGTATGAGTGCAAATGTTAAAGAAAACATGAATTCTTTCAAAAGATGCTGTGCTAATCTGTGTTGGGCGAGCTATATTAGCCTGATAAAGCTAATGTTTGCACAGAACCCCGCTTTAATAACATAACTCATACCAAATGAACTCAGGGATGTGTTGGTAATTGGGTTTCCAATGTAATATTGTTGTGTTCCAAACTGGTGTCCCACATCTTCGAAACCAGGTCTGTGGATACCTGCCACGGGCAGCATTTAGGCTAGTTCTTGAAGGTCTCAAGTATGCAATGCAATGTGCTTGCATATCTTAATTTTGGCTATGCGTAGTTCGCATTGCCATGTTTTCGGCGAAATCTGCTAATTAGCGGTGACAGCAATTTTGGCCCAGCCCAAACACTGTTTTTAACTGGCAATATGGAAGATTCCATATAGTTGTCTTTTTGTGTCACCCTCAAAAGGCTGAAATTAAAGTGCACTATGCTGGTCAGCTATAGTGTCACACCGCCTTGCAACCGCTTCAGGATCGCATTGCAACCTACAATGGAAGGCCAGGTTGGGGATGGAACCTGTTGGCTGCAATCTCCTCCAAAAGGAACTGCCGAAGAGCTGGTAAGTCAGCATGTTTCCAATCCAAGGGCTGCTCCTCAGCAAAGCATGGGATGATAAGAGGCCAAATACAAGACGGCTATAGGTATGGGTCACCTAAACTACAACCCTTTAAGTAGACCACCCAAACTCATCAAAAATTGGTGTCATTGCTCAAGGTTAGTGCAAGTGATGCCCTTATCGTTAAGTCCTGAAAATTAAATGTATAATCTCCAAAAATATAAACTAGCGTAATGAGCCTATTCCCTCATAGGACAATGGTGGACTATCGTTAGTGGAATTTCGGTTTGTAATGTGCATATAGAACCGGACCCATACCATTCTATATGGTGAAGTTTTTTAAAGTCAGGTAGATAAACTGTTTGGCATAGGTGAAGTTTAAGCTCATCTTTCCAACAGTTGGGTATAGTCATGCGATTATACCTTACTCAGTGGGCCATCTCCCAAAAGTAAGTTTCAAGCTTAGGCATTGGTTCAGTAAAATACTTTAGTATATAATATCTCGAGTTTTTCTGGTATACCAATGGTACGAGCACAAGCATCACTAATCCTGTAGTTTGTTGCAAGATTGAATTTTATTCTCAAGTGGCCCTTAAAGAAGCCCCCCCTGCAAGTTCCTCCAGAAGATGGGCCAGCAGTTCTAATCATTCTAAAATCCCACAATGGTGTTGACAACAACAAGGGAAGGCATTGCCAACTGATAATCATGTGGTTTTAAAGGTCAGAAGAACATCGTATGTGTATATATATATATATGTGTGTGTGTGTGTTGTTGTATAGATATATTTCGATATATATATATATACACACACCGCGTATATTATATACATATGAGTATTGCATATTTGATGTTTATTATATATATGTAAATATTGTTATTTCAATATATACATACAAATATAGATATATTATTTTCATGAGATGTAAATATTTATATATACCGTACGTCTTGTGTAAATATAACAGTATAGTAAATATCAACTCAAAAAACAACAAATAAATAGATTATAATATATATATATATATATATGTGTGTGTGTGTTTAAATGCATATATCTCTTTGTCTTGGTACCGGTGTACGGAGCTTTGGCCGACAAGATGAGGAATCAGACCTCAACCATTCGAATTGTCATGTGCTGTCGGACGGATGTGGCAGCATGGCAGTGTCACTTGCTGACAATGTGCGTGCCGCGTGGTTGCGCAGTTCATGAACGGCATGGCGACCGAAAACCCTTACAACAAGACTAGGGTCATGATGGACGAAGGCCACAATGTGGCCCAGGTAGCAGTGGCTATGAACAACCGCTTCCGCTGCGTGAGCAACGGCACGGGTAGTTTTTTTTTTCACATTACTGGCAATCAGTTTTGATCGAATTTCCCCAAGAATGATCATGTTCGGACCCTGCCAATCAAAAGACAGGGAAAGAAAATGACGTTTGAGTAAACTGCAGTATTGGGAACTTTAACCTGCCTAATGTCAACACACCCCAAAAAATACCACTAATAAGGTATCATTACATCCAAGCATCAAAGCCCTTAGGGCCTTCTAGTTTCCACAGAGATCGTTGTCGCTGTGCAGCAAGGTGCGATGCTGAAACCTCACAGTGGAGCTGCCGGAAGTGTTTGCACCAGGTGTGGTATCCAAGTGGTGTGGCATGTACAGGTGACAGTATTGGGAAAAACAAAATGGGTACTGTTAGTGAACAACAAGCAACTGCGCCCTTTTTAAATAGTTGAGCGACGCGCTTTCCAAACTCCGGTGTGTAAGCTCCACTTTCTTTCAGCCTTTTTCCTCCAGTAACCCTCACCCGTCCATCCGGTAATCTCTTCTTGGTATACATGCCAGCCGATGACTCCCTCAATGACTTTTGTTCTGCTTGTGAAAGCCGGCATTTAAGTTCTTCAAGCAATGGCCTTATGGGAAAAGATCAAGCAGAGTTTTTCTTCAACTGATGGCATCGGGAAAACCTAGACATGAATTAAACATCCCTAAAATGTTATGATGAAAACTTCGAAATAATAAGATAAGCCACCATGATCCAAACAATGCTGTAGGTTTACTACAGAAGTGGTTAAATGCCCCCATCCACGTTCGCAAGTACCACGTAGGTGCCATGTTGGTCATGACGTGGGCCACGTAGGGGCACTTGGGAAGACAGCTTGAAGATGGCTGTTCTACCTCAGTGAGAATGAATTTCAGCGGAAAACAGCTGTGTCAAACCACATAATATACGCGGTGACTGTAGCTAGATACATGTGCATAGTCCTCCTGTAGATGAACAACTAGCCCCTGTATGAAGAAGTCCCAGCAACATCTACCCCATTTGCATGATAAACAATATTTGAGGATGTTATACAATGATATTGTCAGACAGGGTTTGTGGGATGGAGCAGAAATATATTACGAAAAATAGGATATCATTTTTGTTGTTCCTAGAAAATCATTTTCATGCATGTTCATTTTGGTGGTTGCCCCCGGGCCCCTGCCAGGGAGACTCGAGCTTTACCCACGAGGCCACTAGCAACGGTGTGGGGTTGTGGTGTGATATTTTTTTTATTAGATGCCAACTTAGCTTTAATATGTGAACTCCCAGTTGCAACACATTTCCTAAAATTAGGGTTTGGATAAAGCAGTTGATGGTCGTGATTTTGAAAGGATACAAGGACGGGAAAGTGTTTGGGGCAAACATTATGTTAAATCGATATCACTTGTTGATGTTTCCCCGATTTTTTATGATGACCAAAAACTACATACCCAGACCCCAATGCCAATTCATACTAGTGACAGACCACCAAACACCATTAACAATGGCCACCATGGCCAATAGAGCAAAGCGGGCTGCTAAACAATTAGCAACCCGCACCCCTTCCAGCCCTTCATCTCCGAAAATGCCATGTTCGCGGCTGCGTCGCTTCGTCGTAGATGCACTTATCCAAACCCAACTGGCCGTAGTGGTTGGGATTTCACCAAGGACACAAGGGCACCCCAACAATGTAGTCAACTACACTTACGTTACCCCATATGTAAAAAGGAACTTGCGCTGCTAACTTGGAGGGACCAAAATGAAACAATGAATCACCACCATGTGGGTTAAATCCCTTGTTCAAGATATATATTATATAATGTATTTCTCAAAATGAAGGATGCTCCAAAATATTCAAAAATAACCCCTTTTAGGTATTTTCGAGCATCCCCCATTGTGGAAATACCAATGCATAAATCATGGTCCATTGGTTTGGGGGTGTGAAGCAGTCAAGCTGCCAAAACCATTTTTCCATGAAGTAGACATAGTCCCCACCATAGGCTTATGGGCCGGGTTGGATTTTTTAAATGATGACTAACACCTTCAGTGTATTTTTCAACATAGCTAAACTCAAACCCGGTTGCCTAGCACAAGGGTTGCCGCCCCATATCATTCCATTGGGCTGCACTCGAAGCAACCGGAGCAAGGCTAGACAGAACCCACGGGAAGACGTCAAGTCATGCAAGACCTTGTCTTTCCTGATGTCCATTGCACGACACTCGATGCCATTCAATCCTCAGCTGGTGCAAGTTTAAAAGAACCATTTCATAGGAAGGTTTAACTATCTCACAGGGGTTTGTAACAACACTTGTCATCCCATGCGGTGTGCAATATCATCCTTTGTGAATTAAACAGCAGAAACATGCCGTTGTTTGGGATGAAAGGTGTATCCAAGGAATTTTTGTCTAGCCAAGTGTCTGCATTGTCGGGTCAGCTCCTGCTCCCCGCTAAACAACTCCAGCATTTGCAAGTCCTCATGGGAGAAGAAATGGGGCCATTTTGACCACACCATTATTTACTTTGAAATGGTAAGAAAGGGGATCATTTCATTTTGGTTTAGGACTGGCCTCCGAAAAACGGCACACACACACACCTAAAATAACATAAGGACAATTAAGTAGAGGGCAATCATTTTTCATATTTCAAGACAGACCCCATCTGTAACCATCCGACTTGATGCAACCCAAGGGACTTGCATAGGACCATCACCATGCTCAGCGGCCCAAACTTGACAGCAATAATCCACCAAGTGAATCCTAAGCCGAGCCGGATGTCAAGGTAAAGTTACTCGATGATGTACATGGTTGGGATCAAATTGTTTCCAGAAGGTGAGTTGATCAGACTTGTTTCGGTATAGTGTACATACATATAATATACATAATACAGGTAATATAATATATATATATATATATTTTTATTTTTTATTTTATGTATATGGATGGCTTGAAGACCCACTGTAATGGTGAAGTATAAACAACCATCAGACATAACATAAGATGCATCGAAGAATCAGCAGGACTGGTGCTCCCCAAAATAGCAGTGCACATGCTTTGCGCTTGGAGAGGCCCAATGCCATGATGGCGAATGGATTCAGGACAGGCTGTGGGATCCGATTGGATGGGTCTCAGGTGTCACTAGGAGTATCTAAATCAGCAAAATGAACGCATTGCAGAGATCATCCACAAGAGAAAACTGACATAAGACATAAGTAAAATATTGAGCGAGGTGGCCACAACTACAATGGTATGCTAATTTGGCTCCACAACACATTTTGGTCGTGAATATGTTCATTAAGCTGTCGAACCTTGACCAATACTACTCGCAGTTTTTCACAGGCTTCCGGGGCATGGGAGTCGGCCACGTCTTGTGTGTAGACACACAGCCTATGCCACATTCATCTAGCAAAACTAGAAGACACCCTGGTCACACCACACCGGTGAAGATATGTGAACCATTGTGGTATATTAATATTTTATACAATCAAATAATAATATTGTTGTGCACAAACCATGTGGAGGACCCCTAGGGTGTGACAGCATTCTCTGGCAAATTCACCAACCTGCCAGTTTCTTGGCTAAGGTAAAGTTTTCAGCCCAGCCCTTCTTTCGAATTGACAACGTCGACCCTCCTTTCTTGTTCACCCGGATGGACTCATCAGCTTCCTTGTTGGTCACAGCTGAGACGTAGATCTGATCCAACGTCCACCTGGGAAAAACACTCGGCTAGAAACTTAATGGGATATTATTGTTTTTGAGGAGTATGTATATATATATACACATGTTCGTAGTTCAGTAGCACATACGTGATGGGTCATTGTTTACAGGGAAAGTGTCAATTGAATCACTTGGGAAACCTATAGTGTCACCAAAAAAAACGCTTTTGATGCTACCCGGTGGGTTCAAGTATATAAAATAGCCAAGTAACAGAATGCCTACGGACCCGCATTTCTTATCATCTGGAGGGGGCAATGTGAAGGACTTCTTGCTGGTAGGGTCAAAGTCAGCAGGCACAGGAATAGCTGCCGCTCGAAGCAAGGGAGCCTCATTTAACACAAAGGCATTATAAAGCAAAATGCCGCTGGTGTTGAACCCCCTCCCGTTCGACACCCATCGATAATAATAAAAATGACCCGGTATATATATATATATATGAAAAACATCGATGCTAAAGATGTCCGGCAACCTTCTCAGACCACATCTTTTGCAATTCACTCTGAGTAAGATGGTTGCGCCCCTTTTTAGGTGCCACTTCAATGTTGGGGTCCCCACCAGCAGGCTCACCAGAGCCGGAACCTCCCCCTTCTGGTTCAGGGGTTGGATCATTCCCATTGCTCTCACCAGCAGGTTCAGAAGGTTTGGGATCAGCCACGGAATTGTCAACAGCACGGCCTCTCCCACGACCCTTTCCACGCCCCCGACCGGGTTTCGAGAACTTGTTCTTCACCTTCCCATCACTCTGTGCATTCTTCAGGAGCTGCTCTGCATGCTGAATCTTCTTTGCCTTCTCGGCCACCAGCTGTGCCTGGTAAGCATCAGGGGGGTTCTCCATGAGCTCAGTCATTTCAAGGTCGGTCTTGTCGGGCATCTCCGGTGGAATAGCTTCCATGCAATGCATCTCCTGTAAAGGGATGTGGAACCTTAAGCACATATATAAGCATTTTTTGGGTTGGTATACGTATAGATCTGAAACAAGAGGTATCAGATATTTTTGACATAAATGGGCAACAATTTTTATCTTACAATAACTACTTTACTTCGAGTGATCCCCACCATGACATATCATGGTGAAGATCACATAGATACCAGCCACTCCCTTTGCATTCTATCTGGCATATCTTCTGGCATTCTACCTGGCATATTTTCTGGCATATGTTCTGGCATATCTTCTGGCACTCTATCTGGTATATCTTTTGGCATCTCTTCTGACATTCTATCTCGCATTCTATCTGGCAAATCTTCTGGCGTTCTATCTGGCAAACATTCTGGCACTTTATCTGGCATATCTTCTGGCAGTCTATCTGGCCGTTGAGGTCCAGCAGTGCACACTGAGCTCTGACGGTCCCAGGTTGAGGTCCAGCGGTGCCCACGATCGGAAGCCGGCAGTTGAGGTCCAGCAGTGCCCACTGCGCGCGGACGTTGGCGAAGAGTTGGCAAGGCGGAAGTGAACATGGGAGTGGATGCAGAGGTGGTGGAGGAGAAGCTGGAGGACGAGGAGGAGAGGGAGGAGGAAGAGGAGGAGGAGGAGGAGAACAACTGTGATAAATTCTAACAACCCTCACCTGGCAGGTGGGGAAATAATCAATAAAATGCGTATCCCTTAAGATTACCAATTGCGTCCTTGGCAGCTTGACGACGGTAACCATCCACCTTGGGATCCACAGCCACCTCTGGGGTAGCATCGTCACACATAAGGTCATCATTCATGAGCTTTTCCAAGTCATCAACAAGCTGTTGCGTTTCCATCTCATCAGGGTTTGGGGCCTGAGGAGCCTTGAATGCCAAGGCTGGATTTCCACCCTTCAAAAAAAGAATGCTAACTTTAAACATATTTTCCAATTAAGGAATACTACTGGTGGGCTATAAATTATAAAATCATGTGCAATAAAAATGGGATATGTTCACAACCCCAGGCAAGGGACCTTCACTTTGTAGCGACGCATGGGAGCCGCTTTGGCCTTCACTACAGAAGGGGGTGTAGCACTGCACGACGACGGAGTCGATACATCCTGCTCATCACCATCCTACAGGGTGGATAAATATACATATATATATATATACATAATAGTTGTTTAAACAACTTAAATTTGGGTTCCCCACCAAGTCCTGCAAAGACGCATTCGCCAGAGCTGCTTCGATGCCATCATGTGGAGATTCTCCTGCAACAGGGGTTGTAAAAAGTAGACACCTCAAAAATAGACCTGCTGTATTGTGGAGCTGACACTCCTTAAAACAACTGAATTGATGCCCTGTGTGGCCGGGACTACAGGATTGGATGACCAAGTTCGTGGTTCTCCCTGGGTACTAGGGTCTGGGAATGGGCCCAAATTTGAGCGACCATGGTTGGCGCGCTGATGAAGACATCGGGACATCGATTCATGGCAAACACCTATCACCCTCGGCTTGGGGAACAAAGAATTTGGCACCACCCCCACCTGACGCGGAAATGATGACTTCCATCGATTCCTTCAGCATCTTGATCTTCAAAGACTTCGATGAGCTGCTACGGCGACACAACCGGAGGGCATGAACGAAGAGGCATCTGATAGGGGGAGCCTGCTTCACAGCCCAATCCTAGTAGGGAAATCCAAATTGATTCAAATTTAAATATATAATATATGTTGGTATCAAACACATATAGTGTAAGAGTTCGAGTGTCATATGTTTTCAGTCCCTGTCCTTCAAGGTTCGGCCATACCCCTTGACTTTCTGGAAGATGCCGTAGCGTTTTGCCAAAACGATCAGACAGTCCTACGAGGCAAAGCTATGGGATAATATATATATATATATAAAAAGGTGTGTGGGCATAGGGTTTGGCGGTTCTAGCCTAGCATAATATCCCTTGGGTATCAAGCCATAAAAACCACATATCTCATGTAGAAATATATGCTGTTAGGAATCAACACCCTGTCCCAACACAGTTGTGCCAGTGTCCATCCGTTCAACATCTTGGATCAACATATAGGCCTTGAGCCTATCTTGTGCCAACAGAAAAAACAGTGCGTGCACAGCAACAGCTGACTTGCAACAGAGACATCAACAGGCTGCCTTGTAATTTTACATATATATATACACATATATATACACATATATATACACATATATATATACACATATATATATATATATATATATGTAGCTGTATGTGGTTATTTTGAAGATGTTATGCTTGGAATATAGTTTGAACTACCTGCAAGTTCTTTTGTGTATGTGTAAAACCCTTCTTGTTGAGTATATCATTTATGATCAGTCCTGATGAGCCTTCATCGTTGGCACCATGCAGCTACCAGTGCTGGCGAAGTATCCAAGTGCAAATTGCCAATGAACTTCCACCTCAGGTGGCCATACCCAAGTGACCTTGGGGAAAACAACAAGTCATCTTATGTCATATTATGTTTGGTTTACAAACAGCCAGTCATCTTTCCTGTATGGTCTTAGGGTAGTTAGTGGGTGTAATACATATATATATATTTTTAAAAAAACTTGTGGAGATGGTATATGACAAAACAACACAATGAATTCAAGTTAAAATGGCCAAACCACCATCTCAGCGGATGCAGGCCCATCTTTGGGAACCACCAAAACAGTGTTGTCGGCATCGTTCCGAATGCGGTCTGCATGCTCCATGAAATAGCTATTGAGAAAGTCCTTCAGGGTTCCCAATGATGAGATGTCCTATGTCAGGTTTAAGAACACCCCTAAACAATAACCCTTATGTTTTCAAATGTGTTTGTCCTCCAAAATGAGGCGTTGTACTGATGGTGGTCCAGACATGATCCCCGCAGCTGAACCAAGGTATATAGCACAACGGCCCCGGCACAATCGCGCAAGGGGGCTGACCAAAAAAATTGTCTGCGGGTCATGGGCAGGACATAAACCCATGAACTCTTGGTCAAAAAAAAATGGTGCACCCAACATAAAAAATAGCACCTGGTAATATCATATTCTAATATCTATAGGGCGAGTATTCCAATAATGGTTAATTAAGGGAATTAAATGGGTTTCCTTATCGTTCCAGGCATGCAGTGGCATGTTCCAAACAAATATGCATAACACCAAGCACGCAGGATGCACCAAGAATCGTTTCATCCCCAAAGCTAAGGTCAATCCCAATGATTTATCTAATCGTGACCCCCATCATATTGTTTAAAAACATAAGATTGTCGACCGCACTGCAAGGCTGTGGGGGGTAGGCGAACCTCCCCACTTCTTCAAAGGTCCAACTGGCTTCTGAGAAGCGCCACATGGCACACTGGGTTCCTCCCTTCGAGCCCGTTTCTGGGCATCCCTGTGTAAGGCTATTGCACGTTTCATCCTGGTGTGTCGTATTTGCCAATATATTAGATATTTGGATGACATCATGGTGAATTGAGAGCATTTGGGGGTTGAGACACACCAGGATGATCCATCAACAAAGTCAACCCATAGTGTACCCTTATCACAAAGCATATGTACGAATGAATTCATAGTGAGATAGTTTTGCGATGTTTGGTTGAACATCACAATATCATGCGCAATGCGCTGTCAGAGCAAGAATGGCAGAAAACCTGCCCTTTCCGACAAACTTTCCGACAAAACATAGCCCATTCCGACAAACGACCTTGAAATTAAGCTTTTACGAAGATGACCTTGTATTTTAGGTACATTGCCGTTTTTTACTTATTTGAGGCCACAGAGCCTCAGGGATACATCGTTTCTAAAATTGCGTCTCCATACTAACAAGAGAAGACCCTGCTCCTCTACGCTCTCGGGCCATCCGTCGTCTAGTTTTTTCGGATGAGATAATTATTGTTGGCTTTGCTAAACTTCTTGTTTTCTGGTTCCTTGAACCCAGTCAAGTAGATCGAAATTGTGGGTTCACCATCAACCCCTATTGGGGGCTTGTAAAAAACTCCATTGGGACCGGGGCTCTAAAACCATCAACCAGACCAGCCGTGGGATGGTAGGGGAAACATGCCACCCAAAGAAACACTTTGGAGGCTGGGCTTTCCTCTTACATATATATATATATATAATCATTATATTATATATTTATACAATATCTGCCACTGTTATTTCTGGTAGGGGGTCTAAGTGAATCATGTGAATGTCCGGGGCGTTATTCATCCCTGTGTCGTGGGATCGAATCTAATCATTTTGGAAGCCCTTACTTGGAGTATTTAATCTGGTTGGTGGTTTCAACCCCTCCAAAATATGAAAGTCAGTTGGGATGATTATTCCCCATATATGAAATGGAAAAATAATCCAAATGTTCCAAACCACCAACCAGTTAATAGTATTCAATCTTTTTCGCGTCGAGGATTTCAGCTACAACTGAGATGATGCACGTTATGACCCCCCAGTTGCTTTCCCTGGGGTGTAAATTTTACTTGGGTTCATGACAGTTCGCCGCTTATTCCAACCATTGTTGGTAATTAAATCAAATTGCCGCTTTTGCTGAGTTCTTCATACTTTACAAACATAAACAACCCCCCGAAAAACTGCAGATATATCATGATATATCTACAATATTCTACAATATTCTACAAGCATCAATACTGTAATCCATGGCTGGAGTTATGTTCATTCTCCAAAGCTGTGTTGGGTCTCACCTGGTGGATTTTATCCATCGAGACAGGACATATCGAGACCAAGGCACACTTTTGGACACGGTACTGTGTCGCGCGCTACGTGAAACAGTCCCTGCCAATTCAGCGAGAACCCGAGACCCATGATACCCAGGGTCGGTTCTGAAAGCACGAAAAGCGTCGATCCATGGGATGAGTATAGGCTTACCCTCTGGTTATGACTAACATAGCCATGGAAAATCCCTTATAAATGGAGGTTTTAATGGGAAAATCATCTATAAATGGGCCATTTTCCATGGCTATGTTAAATAACCAGCGGGTAATTATAGGCTTAATTATAGGCTGAATTATAGGCTTAATCATGTGAATCCCCTAACATCTGGCATTTGAAATTGCTTTGTGTGGCAAATTCATTGCTGTAAATCGCAGATCCACACAAATCTGAGTGGACACTGTGGACACTTACAAAGTGTATAAAGTATCAGTATAAATGCCATATATGCAAAATACATCAATGGCTTGGCAGATACTCCCTTGGAATAACTTGGATTTGCTCAAGTCGAAAAACACAAGACATCTCCATGACAAATTCCTCAAATGGTGGATGCCAATAATGTCCTTTTGGTAAAAATAGAGGGGCCGGTTTGGTATAAAATCTATCATCATTTACCTGTTGTTAAAGGGGTAAACAAACCCCTCTATTAATCAACCAACCACTGGGAAAGGACATCGTGGATGTCCCATTGGGAAAATAACGCAAAATCATCTTCAGCAAATCTAGGATAGTAGCACGTCATGAGGATTTCACCAACGATTTTTTTTCTAACGGGATAAAGGGAAAAATAATGAAACATATATAGCGCTGATATCTTACTCGAAAATAATAATAACAACCAATCGTCATTAAAGAACTATACATCATTATACCGTATCTTTTTAGTCTCAAAATCGTACAAAGTCCTATAAAAAACCTGCAGAGACCCTATAAAATCCCGGTGAAACCCCTACAAAACCCTTGTAAAGGCCCTATAAAAACTCTATAAAGACCCGGTATCCAGTCCGGTCCAGTCCGGTCCGCCCCGGCCGTCGGCACTGCTGGACACCACGAAGGTTCCGTCGCTCAAGGTATTGCTGTTCGGGGACACCTGGAGTCTGGAAGAAAGGGAACATCTACCATCTGGTTATGACTAACATAGCCATGGAAAATCCCAACCATAAATGGAGGTTTAGTTCGCTGGGAAAATCATCTATTTCTATGGGCCATCTATACCATGGCTATGTTAAATAACCAGAGGGTTAAAAAAAAACATGGCTTTCCCCATGGCTTTCCCCGAAAACCTCTTTGGTTTCCGGCTTCCAATTTCTTGGATCATCCCAGGATGGCCATCAATGGGATATGAACCAAAGACCCCAAGGATATCAACTCGATTGGTTGAAGATCTCCAGAATCAATCATGATGTTTCCATAATTTTCCGTATGTTTCCTATGAAAAATCTGGGTTCCGGTTTCAATGTTTAAACCAATCCTTTGAAAATATGTTCGGGGGGCAAGTGGATGTGAGCCATCTATACTTAACATCTATATGTTGAAGCTTTTCTATCTGATGTTGGGGGTTACCAGTCACCAGTCACCAATCAAAATATAGGGATGACTATCTCTCTCTCCGGAGCTTCAGCGTCGGGCTGAATGCGAGCAACATCGAGGGCTGAATTTTTGATGAAACTGGGGATATTTATGGGGCGTTGATGGGATACAAGCATCTAACCAGCTAACATGAGGATTTATAGTGATAACTATAATATAGTTCAGGTTGATGGTCATCCCATCCATAATAAGGATCCTTATAATGGTTATTATAAATCCCTATGAACCATTGGATGACTAGCCCCTATTAATGGTTATTAACCATGAGTATTGACCACAGCTCATATAGATGATGTTAGACCATTTGATTCCCAGGCCAATGACTTTAGTGGAAACGAATCTTCCACCCCCCAACTCAACGGAAGGCTTACAGCTGGGAAAACATGGAACCATCCATGGTGGGAAAACCCAGCACGCCATCTGAAAAAAAACCTGGGGCTATTGTGGATGCATCAATGAAATCAAATATGGTAGCACATTGTTTTGAAAGAAATAAAGTGTAGTATAAAATAAGATCTTACTATATATATATATCTAAACATATGATAGAAAGTAACATAATATAAACCAATATGGAAGCATTATCTCCTTGGTCCATGTTCAACAAGGCTAGGATTGAAAGTTCTTAAATCTTCAGTTCCTATTCATTTTAAGCATTCCCCGAAGACATCTTGCTCCCCAAACATGAATTCTGATAAGTTGGTGCAAAACAACGGATCGGTGTCAAACAAGGTACCAGAGCTCAAATGAAAACCAAGGTGGAATACCCTCTGGTAATTTAACATAACTATGGAAAACCACCATTTATAGTGGATTTTCCCATGAAAAATGGTGATTTTCCATTGCTATGTTAGTTCACCAGAGGGTAATATACCCACAGCATCAAAGACCAACAAGTTTTTGGTCGTAGCTTTAAACAAGTTCTTCTTCGTGGTTTAGAAAATTATGGGTAAATTGGGAGACAGTACGGGTATGGCCAAATTAAATGCAAAAACAATGGAAACATTGGGAAACATGTTTCTTTCAAACACATGTTGCAAAAATTGTGCTTATCTCTTTAAAATGGATAACGGTTCAATAGCCAGAATTTAATTCTGTTGGCGATTTTACACGGGATACGCCCAATCAAGGGACTTTCTCACCAGTTACATACTTATGGTTCAACTCGCTTATAATGGTCTACAAACTTAGTTACAGGAGTATCCCATTTGCAACTGTTAAGTGCCATAACTGCAGACCATTCTATGTATCCCACTTAGACTTAGTGGGATAACCGTCCAAGTGGCACAAGAACTCCGCGAGGGCTAGGAAAAGGAACTTCCAATTCAAGTGGCTTATCGGTTATAATAAGTTATAACCCCAAACACTGGTCAGAATGCAAAACACCTGTTTCTCGGTATGGCTTCGAACACTCCCCCAACAGCAAATGATAATCACATTGCATTAAAATACATTATATATATATATATCATTAATTAATTATATAACTGGTTGGTAGTTTTAACCATATTGAAAAATATTAGTCAGTTGGGATGATGACATTCCCAATATATGGACAGTCAGAAAAAA